TAGTGTGCTTTCTATTTCATTTCTCCGTCCATGCACTCCTCCCATTATCCTTTGTGTGAGGTTTTATGTGCCCTTGAAACAACCTTCTTCATCCACTGTGCCAACCATCAAGACTCTCTTCTTTCAAATCCATCCTTAGCTCACATTGATGCTTTTCACCTGCCAGTGACCATTTCTCTGTATCATGGACCAGTAGACCCTTATCTCACCAAGGAAATAACAAAACCAGAAAAAAACATAAATTAAGACACAAGATTTACAAATGTTATTACCTGTTATCATTAAATACTAACTCTCCTGCACAGCATGATATGCCCCTCATATTTTCATTTTCCCTGTTTAAAAGGATGCAGGTCAGTAGGCACTGCCTTTGTTTTTCTTCTTTTGTTTTCATCTCTAAAAATGATCAATTGGTGTTGATATCAAGGTTTACACTAGCACCATATCAAGGCCTTGAGCGGAAAGATCCTGAGGTCAGGAACTTTGTTGTGCTACATCCTTACTAAGTGAGATATATATTTCATTCAATACACAAATAATAGTAGCAGACTGAATGAAAAGACCTTCAGAGGTTAAACTTAACATTAGTAGGAAATCTGTGAAAACACAGGTGTTTTAACTACTGGTGTTTTTGTGCCAGCCATGACATATGGAGCAGACACCAAGGAGATGGAACTGAAGACTATTGTTAGAATGCATCAGTATCATCTTGCATGTTGAATACTGCAACATAATTTACTAATCCAATTTATATCAGAATATACATGCTTATGTTTAAATATATGATGAAATAGGTGCATATTTTTAAAAGATGACATATTTTTATTTACACTTAATTTTGCACTTCCCAGAATTTTTCTGTCTTTTCATATTGCCTTATGGTGTGTTGCTTGACTCCTGTTCTCTGTAAGTGTGAAAAGTCAGGAGGAGAGTTCACAGCAGGTTGATGGCCTGGAGATTAAAAGTCTGTCTAAGGACATTTCAAAGTTGTAAAGGTACTATTCTCACATGTACTTATTTCTTGGTGGGTGTGAACAACAGCTACTCACCAAGCTGGTGTAGTGTGAAATAGTTTCCTGTGAAATGATGTGCAGACATATGCAGAAAGCCACATGTACAGCACATGCACAGACTCATCCCTGACTTATGATTAGTGAGATTCTTGCTGATAACTGAGTTAGGAATGACCAGTGGGACACCCAATGTTTTAATTACCCAGCAACTATGTGGATTTTCCACATGTACCAGACTAAAATCATGATCCTGTCCTGATGCTTTGAGATTAACACACTGGAAATGACCTTGACTTCTCAGCAGTAGTTCTCTATGACTAGGCCAACTGCAGACTGAGATTTTGTTGTGTACATGGATATTCTCTATACATTCCTTTGTTTGTCAATGCCTGGGATAAATTTTTACCATGCCCCATAAGAGTAAGTTTTACTGTACTAAATACTAAAAGTCATTCTTAGTCAGCCTAAATATGTCAACTAAATTAAACAAAAGAAAGTTAAGTCTTTCAAGCAATTTTCAAAACCTGGGCAATAATTTGATATCTTGCTGTTACAGGGATAAATATATAATATAGTAGAAATGCTGCTAATAATAATAATTTGGTTTTATTTCTTTTAAGACAGTGAATAGGACACCAGAGTAAGTGGATCCAAGGCTTTTGACAGAGTCTGCTCGATCACAGATGCCCAGTGTGACTGTGACCAGAATGAGGGGCCTTTTCAACATTTACAAAAGTGAGCTCTTCCTGCCCTAGTGCTGTACGCCAGCACAGCCACACCTTTCTGGTGGGCCAAAAATTAGTGTGATACATGCCAGAAATGACAATAAGAAATGAAAAGGCCATATGGAGTCATTGCTGCCTGCCAGTCATTGCAGTAGGTGGCAACTGGGACAGGAGACGTATTGGAAAGGGCTTCATGCATTAGGGTACTGCAAGAGTAATGCAAAACCTGGATATGATTCCTGGCAAAATTTGAATTATTTCCCCCTTCATGTTACTTTGCTCAGTTGTACCATATTTATTATGCTAATTACCTCATATGAGGGATACTAAGTTTTGCGCTGGAAACAGAACTTGGTTTTTCCACAACTGTTATGATGAAAATTTTCTTGCAATAACATTTGGTGGGTATTTACTAACCTATGCATATACTTCAGTTACCTGAAAGTCAGACACTGAATCACAAATAATTGTGTATACTTCCTCTGAAGTCATTGAAGAGAGCTAGATGACTCCAGGAGGGGAATCCTTCTATCCTTACAGAAGCGTATTGGGTAAGTCATACTTTGGTGGTGCTCAGGTCATTCTAAAGTACTTGTCCTAGAGACCAGATGAAACATGCCCTGGAAAAGCTGGATTCTCTCCAATTACTGGAGTGACTGATTAGACATGGCTAATGCTCAGATGAGATTAATCCAATTCCTGGTAAATACTTTCTAATCAGGAACTTACGGGGATGTCTCAGTATTGTGAGGTCTTTTCAGATAATTCCTGGTTATTATGCATAAAGAATAAATTCAGAAATGCAGTATAGGAACTAAAGAAATTTAAATGGAAGAACGTATTGCGTATTAATTTGTATATTGAACTCAAATACTCATAGACACATTCTACAGCTTTGTTACTTTCATAAGAATACCTTGTCTTACGGTGAATGTACAAACAATCTTTGATTTTGATTTCTAGTATACATCTGTGATGCTGCTTTGCAGTGCAGTTGCCAGATTTCTTTATTTTTTGGGCTATCATCTTAATTAATCTTTTCTTATTTAAGGAATAATTTTTGTTAAAATTTTCTGCATATTCCCTCTCCCTATCTTTCTCTGTCTTCTCATGTCTGATCCACTTCCTTTCATAAGCAGAAAATTAAAATAAAAGTTTCACAACTGTTGTCTTGAATACTAAAGGGTTTAACCATAACTTCTGTGTCAGCATGCTGAATACACATGCTTCTAAATACTAACACATATGTGATGAAGATCAAAGCTCAGGGCTTTACTTGTTTGCTCAAGTACCCAGTGAGGCCATTCTTCAAGATTTTATGCAGGAAGATCTCTGTGCATAAAGCAAATCAGAAGTAATTTCACTCTATATGATTTTACCCTACATGAGTACTGCGCTGTTCCACACTTGCTTGCCAGATGTCCCACCTCAAGCTCCAACCTCACACCTTGTCCCGTGCAGATCAATCTCTGCAGAACAAGCTAAGAGTCTCTACATTTTAGGAGATCACTCTGAGAGCAAAGAACTGTTCAATTTGAATAAGGCTGCCAGCCTGTGATCCTAAAAAGAAACTGTTCTTGTTTGTTCAGCTGTAACCTAGATTAAGCCAAGGAAGATACAAAGCAAGAGAGAAGACTGAAGTTCTTACATGACATTCAACAACCTCTGGGTGAATAGCCCTATCCATGCTGGTCATTAGCACTTTATGAGAAAAAAGAACCAGATTGCAAACAAGGCAAGCATGTCTCAGAATAAAGCTTAGGCTGGAAATGTTTCTGGGAGGAATATTTGGTTATCATGTAGCTCAAGTAAAACAACTGCCTGTAACTTAAATGGCTATTTTCCATTTTAATGGTATATTAAGGTGCCAAGTTTTGTTAAAGGTTTATTGGCAGCCATGCAGTCTTTTATGAGTCCGTCTATTTTTCAGGTTTTTTTCTGGTGAGAAGAATTTCTGTAAAGAAAAATAGAAAGAAAAGGAAAAGGTAAAACCATCCCATTTGGTGAAATTATCATTAAACATGATTGCCATTATCTGAGATCAGGAACCATTCTCATGCAAAAATTAATCCCAGAGGTGTTCATCACGACTCATGTTTTCACCATGGTCTCACTATGGAGCTGCATGTCCAGAGATCTTTGATAGATCTCCCTCTCTGGAAAAGAGAGGTTTTGTATTATTTTCTTCCTTCATATTCAGTCCTCTGTTTATTTCAAGCATTAGCAGTGAGTAATTTGGCTTTATCTTCCTCCTAACTAGAACAAACTTTGTGGACACGACCAGACAAGCAGACTGCTGCATTATAAACACCGTTTTCATTTGTTTCACAGTGACTCAAGGAAGGGGTGATTTTCCTGATTTTTTTAAAGAAACTCAATTGTAAGTGTGGGGGCAGGGCTTTCCCTTTTCCAGCAACTTGCAAGATAGCTCTGTAGACTTATAAAAAGTCATAGAACATTTTAGGAACGAAATTAATTCAAAAGGCCACCTATCTAGTCCAAACCCCTGTTCAACATAAGACTTTTTGCATCAGGTACCTTATCTGGACAAGACTGAGTATCTCCAAGGACAGAGATTCCACAATTTCTCTGGGTAACTTGTTCTGGTGTTTGACCTCCTACACAGGGAACCATTGTTTCCTGGTATCTCATTTCAGTTTTCCTCATTACAACTTGTGCCTGTTGCCCATGTGCTGCTTCTGTGCACTGCTAAGATCTGCTTTCCAGACTGCATGTGTCTGGACGTCTCTGTTTAAGGGGTGCTGTGCTGGCTCATCCTCAGCTGTTTATACACTTGTCTCATCTCACAAAATGCATGATGAATTTTCCCATTTGGAGAAGGAGGAGAACATGTTGATTTCCCTTCTACTATTTCTCACTTTCATAGCATGCTACAAGAAAAGAGTAATGCAGAGGAAACACAAAATCCTTATACATATATATATATATTCGTATCACAGAACCTTCAGTAAATCTGTTGTTTGAATTCTTTATTGTTGAAAACTTTTATACCAAGGAACCCTTTATTTTTCTGTCCAATGTTAGTGGGAATTTAAGACACAGTTTCAGATGAATTCAATAAGATGTTGTATTCCTATATGTGAAAATTGTACAGTCACCAGACAAGGAATAGCCTTGCATGCTTTGGATTGGTTGAAACAGAGAGCAAGAAGTATGTTTCTTCTACAAATCACTGTTAGGCTTTGAATAAATAATTAAGAGATAATTTTTCTTAGTATCTTTTTCTGATACTTTCTACATTGTGAGTAAAAGCTATTCTTAGAAGTAGTCTACTCAATTGAAAGGTCGCGTTGAATATCTCAGACTGCGAGCACATCTGCAGAAACTTATTCTGTACCTGGTTCCTAAAAAATGAAATAAAAAGAGAGGAGATGGAGAAAAGAGGAGAGAGAATGAAATGTAGTAGCAATTATCTACTTTCTGAAAATCACATTTAAATTATGGGTGCAAGATTCTACTCAAGCAAACCCAGCATTGTTTTAATTTTAATTATTTTACAATTTATATTTTTCTAATAGATTTCTAATTGATCAATTTCTACATATACATTTGTGTCTTATTGTATGTAAACAGTTGCACTAACAAAAAATTTGGTTCTACTATCTGTAGAGAAGAGAAAATTAGGTCCTGAAGAGAGTCAGCTCATCATTGTGGAATTAAATTAAATCTATTGATTAAACTTTCATTCTGTGGTTGGGCTTTTTCGGAGGCATGAAATAGTCTCATTTAGTTACATTACAGAAGTAAGGGGAAGAATATTTAAGGGAAAGGGAATTGCCTGTTCTATTTAAAACAATTACAATATGCATTTTACAGAATAATAATAATAATAATTTAAAAAACAGTCAGGCAATTATAAACTAGGAGGAATATTTTCTGTGATGTTTTGGTGATAAGAATTTAAAAAGCAACATTTGACTGACTCCTCTGGTTTCTACCTGAGGTCTTGTGCCAATCCTACCTTGCTGACACCGCGGTCATTTGAAGGACATGAAGATTTGATGTTCATAGGTCTTTCATGGTTCACACGCAATACAGTGTGCTGAGTCTGTGGAAGTCACTGCAAACAGACTCCTCTTAGCATCTCTTTTTCTTCTCTCCCCACAACCCTTCCTCCCTCTCTAATACTGTTACTGCATCTCCTGCCCTTCCTTATTTTCACAGGGAAAGCTGAGGATTTAAAATGTGTGCCAAATATTTATTGTCCAACTGAGAACTGGAAGAAAAGCACATGCTTTTACCTGAATAACTCTTTCTAACAATACCTCTAGTTCTTAAAGTCAAAAGGTAATACTTCTGTGGACAGTTCATATCAATAATTCAGGTAACAAGTAAAATATGTTGCTAGTAAAATGTGCAATTCTGTGTTATCTGCTGGCTAATGCCATGCAGTATAGAAAGATGTTTTCCTTACAACTTTGCTGCTGTGGCAGCAAATAACTTTGTTGTGTGGTCCTGGATGTGGAACAGAGAATGCTAGCTGACCTAACCTGTTTCATATGGCTAAACTTCCACCAGTGATTAGAACAGAACAAATATACCCAAGACCAATTTTGACAAATGGAAAATTTGGACCCAGGTCCTTCAGAAGTGCAAAAATACTTTTCACCAACAACAGCAATTAGGACCTTTCTTCCATCATTTTATTGCTTAGCCATGTGTTGGTCTGTGTCAACACAGATTGATAAAGTCATAGAATTTTATGGGACAATGTGAAAACTCATTTGCGAATTTTATTGCAGTCCATCATTGCCTGCATTCACAGCCCAGAGGTCTTCCATTGTTGTGAATAACAATTGGGAACAATTTCTGGCTATGGTCAATGTAGGGGTTGCAGTCTTCCACTGACAGGTGTTCTTTCTTAATTGCTTCCATTAGTTTCCCTTTACTGCAGGGCTTCACCACCTGATGAATGCAGTGTTTCAACAAATACCAGACCAGACCTATCAGCTACAGTGTGTGACATGATAATCAATGTATGCTCATTGAGCCCAACCTTAGTAAAACACTCTAGTCAAACTCGCAGTGCTTATTTCCCAATAAAATAGTTATTATTCCAAATGCAATATTTTAAATAGAAAAATTTATTGGTGTGGAATTTCAGGCAAATGCAAGCACTTGCCAACATTTGCATTAGAAATACTGTGGCCAGCAGGACCAGGGCAGTGATTGTTCCCCTGTACTCAGCACTCCCCCTGTACTCTGCAGTGCTGAGTACACCACATTTGAGGCCCCACCTCAAATCCTGTGTTCAGTTTGGGGCCCCTCACTACAAGAAAAAAAGACATTGAGGCAGTGGAGCATGTCCAGAGAAGGGCAATGGAGTTGGTGAAGGGTCTAGAGAACAAGTCCTGTGAGGAGCAGCTGAGGGAGCTGGGGTTGTTCAGCCTGGAGTAAAGGAGGCTCAGTGGGACCTTATTGCTCCCTACAACTACCTGAAAGGAGATTGCAGTGAGATGTGGATTGGTCTCTTGTCCCAAGTAACAAGAGATTGGACAAGAAGAAATGGCCTCAAGTTGTACCAGAGAAGGATTAGATTGGTTATTAAGGAAAATTTCTTCACTGAATGGACATTCAGGCATTGGAATAAGCTGCCTATGGAAGTGGTGGAGTCACTATCCCTGTAGGTGTTTACATGGTTTAGTGGTGGACTTGGCATTGTCAGGATAATGGTTGGACTCAATGAACTTAAAGGTCTTTTCCAACTAAAATGATTCTATGATTCTACGATTTGTAAATATGCTGACAAGAGAAGGCACGATTCCCATGGGAAGTAATAAAACTTCTGATCTGGTAATCTCACTGCACCATAAAGCTTGATTTCATTCTAGGTCAAGAACCTTGTTGTGCGTCATATCTTTGTCTACTGTGAGTAAGAACCATACGTATTTTATAAAAAAGGAGAGTTCTTCAAAAAGAATAGCTGAACATGAGCCAGCAGTGTGCCCAGGTGGCCAAGAAGGCCAATGGTATCCTGGCCTGGATCAGGAACAGTGTGGCCAGCAGGACCAGGGAAGTGATTCTTCCCCTGTACTCAGCACTGGTGAGGCCACACCTGGAGTACTGTGTCCAGTTCTGGGGCCCTCAGTTCAGAAAGGACACTGAGGTGCTGGAGCAGGTCCAGAGAAGGGCAATGAGGCTGGTGAAGGGACTTGAGCACAAGTCCTTTGAGGAGAGGCTGAGGAAGCTGGGGTTATTTAGCCTGGAGAAGAGGAGGCTCAGGAGAGACCTCATCACACTCTACAACTCTCTGAAAGGAAGTTGTAGCCAGGTGGGGGTTGGTCTCTTCTCCCTTACTATCAGCAAGACAAGAGGGCACGGCCTTAAGCTGTGCCAGGGGAGGTTTAGGTTGGATATTAGGAAGAAATTCTTTACAGAGAGAGTAATCAGACATTGGAATGGGCTGCCCAGGGAGGTGGTGGATTCACCATCCCTGGAGGTTTTTAAGATGAGACTGGATGTGGCACTTAGTGCCATGGTCTAGTAACCACAGCAGTGTTGGATCAAGGATTGGACTTGATTATCTTGGACATCTTTTCCAACTCGGTTGATTCTATGATTCTACGATTTTGACTCCTCTTTCTTTTCATACTCGCTGAAGTATTAGTGCAGATATCAGTGCAAAATGAATTTTTGCTTGTATCTTGCATTCTGGATTATCTGAATTTTATGGCACTGCATGGAGGTAAATTAGGAACAGAATATGCCTTTCAGCCCTTTTTCTGTTTGTAGTGATACTCAAATCAGAAAGAATATAATTTTTCTTTTCAGATCTAAGATTACATTTGCAGAAATTATATTTATAAATAGCAACAAATGCCCAGTGCCTTCTTACTTTGGAACTAAAGAAATTCAGTTGAGAATTCTTGAAGATAAAAAGCCCAGAGAACCACTGTATATCTTTTAGCATCTTTCTGCAGAACAGAAGTGTCATTTGACCAAAATCACAATTACATAACTCCATAGCTGCAAGAAATTTCTTCAGAAGTACCTTTCTGCTATGGTATTACTTTAAAAATACTTTTAATGCCAATTTTCCATTAAAAGTAAAGAGCTGTTTTTGAGTGATTCCATTGTACCTTCAAAGACAAATATTGTCTCCAAAAGCAAAGATTTTTTTTTAAATAAATTGTTCTTCATCATTGTTTTTTTTCATTCATTCTCTCCCTGTCTCTCTTTTTCTCCATGGTAACACAGAAGTTGATAATAATGTATGATACTTGCCAGCAGAAGGATTCAGTAGGGAGAAGCATAAAGTACAAGAAATGTAGAAACCTGTGCCCAGAGCTGCACATTAGCTTTCAAACTTCTGCAGACTTTAACCTTTTTTCTGCTCTATTCACATTTGGCTCATTCTCCAAAACGGATGGGTCTCATTGGTTTTATCTGTCATTTACTTTACCCTTCTTCCCTTCCCCTTATTGCTTCCTCAAAGAGCAACACAATTCCTCAGGCTTTCCTGTTGAATGTTTCTGTGCTAACTGTGAGAGGAGAGAATCACACAGCTGCTGCTACCCTGATCTCAAAAGCAAACATCAGTACAGCCAATACTAATGGAGGCTTGCAAGTGGAAATGGAATGAATTAGCAGCAAAACCATGAAAACAGCAGCCAATCTCCATTTTGCAAGCGTTTTTTTTAGGATAAACCAAAATTTCTCTGGATGAAGTTCCTATAGGCCACGTATTGCTTTTCTGGCAAACTCTCAGATGACCTTCCATTGGCATACTTGTGGTTCCTCTATCTAGACCGTACTTTCTCAGTGGGAGAATTCTTTGCACCAGAAAAAAACGGAAATTAGCTTTTTCAGTTAATGTCATTTTGTCTCTTTGCTTTAGACACCAAATAACTGAATGAAAGACCTTTCAGAACTTTCATTTGCTTCAGTTAGAGTATATAGAAGTGATCCAAAATCCCCCCCGGCTGACACCCTTCCCTGCTACCTGATGTAAACAGGATGTCTCATTCATCCTGCTATTACTATATCTGTACGTTTCTGACATGTTCCTTGTACCTCAGCATCTCACCACTGTGTTGACAAAATGAAAGGCCAAATTAGTCTGGAAGATTCATAAAACGCAATTCATGACTATATTCTCACTACAGCAGCGAATTCAAATATACCTATTTTTCTATTGGTATTGAAGAAAAAATGCAAATAGCAGTATGATTATATGAATTTGCAACATTTTTTACACACACACTCACATGCATATACACTTACATACACTCTCTCCTCTGTTTTTTGGGCATACATCCAACAGAACAATATGTGTCACTGAAGTTTAGAGCCATTTGCTTAATCCCACCTTCTGGCAGTCTCACCCATGAATCACAGACACAGTTACTGATGGGATAGATAGATCGTCCAGAGTGCAAACCCCTGCTTCAAACTTGCTCTCCTTTAAACTAGCTGGCAGAGACAAGGATTTTCTGGCAGAAAATGCTGGGTGTTGAAATATTCATAATTAGAAAATGGGGCATTTGTACACATTTTGGAGGACAACTTTGTTAAAACGTTGCACTGCAACATTTTCCAGTCCAGTGTATTTCTATTTTTGATACCAAAACCAGCTTTTCAAAAACAAATCTTCATTTCAGCTAGTGAAATCAATTATTCATGGACTTTTATTGCATAGTGAAGTCGTCTGGCTGTTTGGGCCCAGTGCTTGTGAGCTCGTCTGCCTCTGTTCATATTTCACTTTTTGCTCATTGACTTCCACAGATCTGTGTTCCTTAGAAGGAAAACATTTTGAGAACAAAGAGCTGTTTACTGCAAAGAGTTAAAAAAGCAAACAAAGCCAACCTAGGAGTTTGCACACCACACTGCCCTTCCCAGTTCAAAAGAAAGGGGGATTTGCCACATGAAAGATGCCTTTGGGGGAGCTGCTGGCTTGCATGGGTGTAGACTGGGTAAATATAAAGCGTTTTGGGGCAGCATACAGAGGAGCAAACGTGTTGGTTTGAAGTCAATAGACTACCTGTTTGGACAGGGTAGGTGACACCTCCTCCCACCACTGGCAGTCTTACTGGCATGGCTACGAATTTGTCCCTTTTATGCCAGAAGCCATGATCTCATATTTGTTCGGTATTGGAAGCAGTCAAAGTCAAAAACACTCCTACAGTTTTGAGGACGCGAGAATATTATTCTACTGCTATGCTACAGCTAGTTATGCTGTGCTGCTCTCACTTACTACCTCCTGTGCCGCCACCTGCCAGACCCAGCCCGCCTCATCCGAGCGCCGTCTGGCATTGCTGGAGCGTGAGGGGCATGGCCTCCCCGTGAAGGTGGAGTATGTTGGCACCGCAGGCCAACAACCCTTCACTCTTCAATATGGCTGGCGCCCAGGGTCAGCGCAGGAGAAGTTGTTTTTTTTTCTGGTCCAAGAAGCTCAAACAAAAGCCAATTATTGCACATACGACAAATTTAACAGTGCTCCCTGAAAGCAGCACTGTGATTGTATGGAAGATACGTTGGCAGATACACACCGTTGGATTGGGCAATGTCACGTTCACCAGGCAGGTTAAGAGTTTAGACACTGAGCCTGTCTTAAGATACAGTATAAATTCAATGTGTTTTTATTGTAACCATGGAACTGATCCACGAGGTTTGCATTTGCCTCCTTACTTTCAGTTTTGACAGTTAGTAACAAATGGTCCAACAGGTCTGAGGGGGGTTTTGTCCTTTTCTAGGGCAAACACACTGCTCCCCCTCCATGGTCAGGGTAAAACTGCAGAGAGGAGGCGTGGCAGGGCTTGGGCACGGGCTGCTGGGGGAGAGCAGTGCAGGCGGCAGCATGGCAGCTTGTGGCGTTATGGTATGTAGCCCATACAACCGCAGAGAGGCAGATTGGCTGGCCCAAGTGGAGCCTCTTCTGCTGAGGTGCGCTACCACCGGCTCACTCGAGTGGGGACCCGTAGGCTGGACCCACTCCTACACTCGTCCCCGTCACTTGCCACCATGGCCACAGTCCAGATGGACACTGTGTTACGCAGGCTGGAGATGAGGCTTTGTTCCTGCTGTCAGTACTGTGGAGCCCATTTTTCTGAGGAAGCAGCTTTCAGACATTTGGGGTTATGCCAGTTTCTGATAATCCAGAAAATCCTGAATTTAAGCATGTTCCTTAAAATTAAGGTACCCTGCACCTTTCTGTCCCAGGTTTCAAATGCTTCCTAGGAGTAAGGGCACCTTATTTGGCAGAGGATTTTTTAGGTTCATGTGTGGCTTTTGTTTTAAAATATATTAATTTATTATAATGTAAAATCATCTGCCTGGAGGATGTGGGATGTTGTTGGACTACAACCAAGTATTGGCTTGTAGCCTTCTATACCAGGGTGCTAAGAAATAAATCCTAAATAGAAATGGATGAACGGTTTATGTTCATCACCTCACCCCTCTTTTCTAAGGGCTTTCCTAAAAACAGGTGATGTTTTCTAGATTTGTTCACCATATGAAATGTTGTATGGTGATCCTACAAACAGTGAAAGTTGTTTACTTAATTGCAAATTATTAGAAATGCCTTTTCCCTCTTTGGGGGCTTCATGGTCTTCTAATTATGTTGCATTATTCCTCCTCTTTGATTAGATCAGTGAAAAACTCATACACAAAAAAGAGATCAATTAGTTTCTTAATTATGATACTTGTATACATATGTAGCTTAATAGTAGTACTTTTATGTATAAAGGAATGACCACAGGATATGGGTAAGGAAAACATGCTAAAAAACTATTGTAAAATGACGAATTATGTAAGCAGTACATTTTTTGCCTTCCAAATGATTTTGAAGTGCATTTTCTACACCTTGCAGTCATTCCTGTACATTTTACTTTTCATTTTAATGACCCATTGATATTGATTTCCTGAGGTCTTGCAAAAAAAGTAGTTAAAAAGTTCCCCAAAGGTGAGGACTTAAAGATACATAGATTTTTTTTCCTTCCATTGGTATTTTAGCAGGACAATGAACTGTTCTGAAGTAAGATTATGATATTGACTGTGACAGCTATGACCTCTCATATGCTCATTTACAAACTATTTTAGCATGTTTGCTGAATTCTGATGATTTTTTTTGGTTCAGCTGCTATCAAGTGAAAGGTAGGTTTGTATAACATCATTACATTACTGATGATCAATTTGCATGCATCTCCTGATCAAGGAGGTACCATTGTGCTACCCCATTTACAAACACAAAAACTAGATGAGCACTGGTTTTTAACATCACAGAGTTTACAGTCCTAGAGCACTTCTGCAATTGCTGGTATTTAAAGAAGCTTGCTGCATCCACCGCCGCTTCATTGACCATAAACGAGCTTCCCATGGGAACGCCAGTGTTCTCATATTCTACCAGTCATAAAGTTGGGAGAAAAAGACAGAGGATGAGGCATAATGTGCAAGCAAGATTGATGGACAAACTAGCCCAAGCCAGTGTTTGATGTATTTGACACTGATTGTTTCTCTTGCAAACTGAAACTGGACTAGAATGGTGCAAAGGAATAGTTAAAAGCTTTAGTTCTGACATCAGTTGAATTGTAGAATGATCATATTTATGGTTACAGGAGCATCTTGTTTTTAATTGGAAGTTATCAGATGGAATTCACACTTTGAGCTTTGGAAGGATAATCACAGACCACAGACTACTGCATTGAAAGTGCTGATATTGTCTGAAAAATTCAGTGATTTTGACAATGAGCATCATTACTCTTTAATTAACAGCACTCGTTTAGCTTGGGGAAAAGCTTGTCTAAATCCAGAAATCTGCCATGCTATGCTCCTGTATTTTCATCCTTACAATTAGTTTCTAACACAGTGTCAGTAGAAAAATGCCAGTTGACAAGGACTAAGCACAGGGAGAGGAGTCCCTTTTTTATATAGTAAAACATTTTTATTTTTTTTCATTTCCTCACTTACCCATGATTTGTCTCTTTCCATCATCTGTTTTGTCCCTTCAGAAAGCCAGGCTGTGGCCTGTCTGTGGCAGGCACCCATTTTTCGTTATCTGTACAGGTAGGTACTATAATAAACAAATAAATAATAAAAGATCTTTGTAGCTCCTTTTAGTGTTCTGTCTACAGATCATTTGCATCGATCTAGAAACCCATGAAGAAACTACTACGGAGTTTATGCACACTGAGTTGAAAATTTCCCCCACCAAACCCCCTGTTGTGGATTGTCTGGCAAAAAAACACAAACAATTCCAAAAAATAAAAAGAAGGACTATCATCTTCTGATAACACTGACAGTAGCAACATAGTTACCTGCATGTCTGATTGCCCCAGAAGGGATTTATAACTTTATGTTTGACTACCTCAAAGATCTTAAAATTAAGATTGGTAATCAAAAATATTTTGATTGCCAGCTTTATCTTGAGACGTTACAAAAAGGCACTAAGTTCATATAATTAACTAACTAAATAAGTAAAACAGACAATTATATAAGAAACCTTAGCTAAAACAGACTTCAGAAGGATTTGACAGATTATAGGCTGCTAACACTCTCATAATCACTATTAAAATCTGTAATCTCATTAACATCAAAGAACTGGAACCAAACCGAACAAAACTGAAAAATTATTAAAAAAAGATAATGTTTTTTTTTACTATAGCCTCCAGTACTGTTGTGAAATATAAGAGGGAATAAAGGACAGCAAGAACATTTCAGAAGAGGTTGATGAAATGAAAGCTGTGATGAATTATCTCCAGCCTTCCTTTCCAGCACTTACAATTGAAGATCTTACATCTACTCCAAACTAATGTTTTTTAAGAGTGTTCTGTCATGTGGGACAGGGGTGTATCCAAATGTTGCATAAGAGTAATAAAACCAGAGGAGACCAAATGGCAGAGCTCATAGTTTTCTCCATTGTTAAAAATCCTGCGTATCTGTTGAATGATTTTTTTTACCTCAAATGACTATTTTAGTACATTCTTGTTGTTAACATCAGAATTGCCTCATAGGTTAGAAGCACAAAATCAGTATTTTTGTACTTTTGCTTTTATGTGGGTTAGAAGGAGCTGGTGAGCTTAGCTAGATTATATACCTAAGTTATTGTTGTTTTTGCAGACAGAATTGTGAGATTTTTAATAAATATAACGCCATTAGGTGGTTTTGTGCTCTTTTGTCACCCATCACATTTTTAGAAGATTTTGAAGCTTCAATATGCATGTAGTTTAAAAAAAAACTCAAACAAACCAAAAAAGGGGAGAACTTTCTATTTGATACAAGCAGTTAGTATCTGTCAGCAAGTGTGTTTCTAAGTAGGGAAAAAACTCCAACAACTGACCTGTTCACAGCAACTAACTAATTTTCAAAGAATGCAGCTATTTCTTAGATTGCAAATCTGATTATTTAACATTCTATTGTAAAATTAAATAAAAACCTTATGTGAGATGTTATTGAAGAAAACAGAGTCCAGGTCTCTGATGCTCCAACATTTGCTAAAGATGGCATCTGGTTGTGAAAAAGAATATGAGAACTCTACAACAGAGAAAAAATAACTCATTTCAGATAGATGGCATGCTTCAGATTAAGACTGAGGCAGTGTCAGAGAGGTCATAGAGAAGAAATACACATTTTATATTCACAGCAGAAATGACACAGTGAGGTGATTACAAACAAGACAGGAACATTTTCATACATTTAATTATGACTGCTATTGCATAGATGTTAACTTTCTAGTTGCTCATCTGTTTACACTTTAAAAAATCAAGCTCATGTAAAGGTTAAGCAGAGAGAGGGATAGGAAGTTTTCATGGGACAACCCAACTGTGACCTTTGATCAGTCATTCCAGAGGATCTTCATATTCTAGAGTACAAATGGTGGAAAAGCTGCAAAAGCAATACAGTCAGATAGTAGGTTAACAGGACGTTATGGGGTGTGTTAGCAAACCCTGCTTTTAGATTTAGAAGAAGGACAGACACCTGACTACTGTAGAGAAAAGGAGAGTAGTAAGCAACCCAGTGTTCTGTCTTAAAAACAGTGCTGTTTTCATCTGAGTTAGCTATCAGAATTGCAGTTGCTACCAAAGTTGCCTTTTTTGACAGTTTTTCAATAATCTTCTCTTTACAACTATCTGCAGAATACATGGCTTTGTGTATAGGGATGTAATTTAGGGCAACAAAAATGGGACTCTTGGTCTGCTGAGACACGCAGAGGCTCATCCTTTAACAGGTGCAAAAGGGAAAAACTAGATTCCAAACACCAGGAGACTTGGTCAAATGAACACACGGTGGTAAGCTCTTCTAACCCCAATACCATATGATGATAACTGAGGATTCATGTGGCTTTGCTCCAAATCAGGGAGGTGATAATTGCTCTCACTCACATGTAGTCTCTCTTATATTGCGACCCACAGGAAGACCAATACTATCCTTCCTTCCCTGAGTCTGTCTGGACCATGTATCAATGGTTCTGGATCAGCTATAACATCTGAAATTATGGGCACTGTCTTTTCTCTCAGGCAATGGAAGGCTTATGTTCATTAACACAGTACTGCTCTATTCAGTCCCTGTAGCAGGGTACTATTATACTACAGCTGTATCCTCCAGTAACACACTGGGCAATATCAACAGTGACTCTTTGAAAACAATTAAGAAACATTTTGGAGCAGAGGCCACTGCCCACGATCATGGTAAAGTAGCTGGTCTATCTTGGGTTCTGTTTCCGTTAGTCTGATGGAAAGAGAGAAAGAGAGAGAGAGAGAAAGAGAGAGAGAGAAAGAGAGAGAGAAAGAAAGAGAGAGAGGAAAGCAAGAAAGACAAAGAAAGGAAGAAAGAAAAAGAAAGAAAGAAAGAAAGAAAAAAAAGAAAGTAAAAGAAAACAATTAATGAACAAAATGGGTCCCATATTTGGATGTATTAAATGCAAAGCATGTATTTTTTTAAAAATGGAACTGGGGCACTATTCAGGCAGTGCACTGCCATTTTGACATGCCATGTGGACTCCAGTGTAAAAAAAGAGAAAAAAATAATAATGCATATGTGTGGTAATAATCTGCACATGACTGGTTGCTGTAATGTGCACTGCTGTACTGCCAGCAGGGAAGTGAGTGATTGCCTCTCGCCTACACAATGGGCACTGGCTTTGCCTCGCATGATTTTTCAGCAGGAGAACAAATAACAGGGGAGGAAATAAGGAACGAAAACCGCTACCTGACTCCACCATCTCCCAGCCCTTGAGACTTGATTAAGTAGTCAATCAGAAGTTTTTTGCTTTTTAAAAATTTTAGGTTGTTTGCTGTGACCACGGAACTTGCTGAGCAAGAGATGAAAAAAAACTACCTGCCTTTTGCTTTGACCTCTGTGTCTTTTAGCCTAGGTAGTGAGACGTGTTCTACAGTAGCTGTGCTCATCAGGAAAGTTTTTATTTGTTTTGCTAGTCTGGTGGCTCATCCGGAGCAGTTTGATATTCAAATGAATCTGTCAGAAACAAGAGTGTAGTGCTTCAGTTCTTGCTCAGGCCTGATGACATTGATTTGTGAGCATACTGCTTGACTACGGGATGTGTGACAGATAAATTTTATCAAAATTAAGGCACAATTAAACATTTCATCTTCCTAATTACTGGCTGTAGATTCAGCCTGATGACCATGTGCTGTAAGAAATCAGCGACCATTACACATTTTAATGGAGCACAGCTGTCTTACAGCTTGGTAATATTTGCACAGTGCCACAGAACTGTAATTTATGATAAAAAGAAAAAATGTGTATTGGCTCTTTTTTGCCAAAATAGATTAAGGATTCATATACTTTAATGAGATTTGGACCTAGCCTTGGATTATCGTTATAAATGATTTATGTGCATGTTGGTGGACTCCTGTAGTTTTGAGTTGATTTGTGTTTTGGTCGACCAATATGTAATTCAGTATTTCCTTGTGTGCCAGTATTTTCATTCTTTCCTCTCTCTCCATTTCAGTTCTATTTGTCCACCATAACTTAGCAAGAAGGGCAAGTGGGAAGGTTAAGAAAGAATTGAGGCATATTTTCTGGGAGACCTCCTCACAGCAAAATTCACTCCTGAAACCTCTCCCCTGCTCCCCTGCTCTGCACCCCGAGCACAGAGAGAACAGGGGGGAGGGAGGTGAGGGGAGGTGGGTGTCACCAGCCTGGATCAGGATCACTCCTGCAGCCTGTAAAGCAGGACATGGGGGAACAGATGCTACCTGAACCCCTGCTCAGTCAGAGACCTGCCTGAACATTGCTGTATCTCAAGGCAAAATATCAAATACCTTCCTCCTGCTTGTTTAAAACATGACCTACAAAAGGGTGTTTCTCACCCACTTGATATTTTTCCTGTTTCCATCAGTTTTTTCCAGAAAACGTGCTGCTTCTCTAAAGGGAAAGAAAACCCAACAATGTATGCACCCAAGTTACAATTTTTGGAACCGCCTTTCTTCTCCATTCTTTTCTTCACTAGGTTTTTTTCACAGATTATTTAGAGAGTGTGCAGAGCAGGGGAAATAATGAAGATTAAATTAGGTGTTTAATATATATACATATATTCATACCTATAAATATACACACACACAATGGCTGTGTTTGTATTTGTGCATGTTTTATTTTTACATTAATCTTAGTGAATGAAATTTGTATTTAGTTTAACTGCCTAGGTTTGCAAGGAGTCACACTGAAGTCCAGAGTTTGACCCCATATGTTGCAAAGCCCTGAGATCCATATGCATAGATAAAAAGAGAAACTAAATTCTAATTTTCATAATAAAAAAAAATCCTGTCCGAGCTTGATTTACTTCAGTGTTCATATGCTGGAATGTTTCATACTGTACCAGGTTGCATATGCTTGCACACTAATTCTCAATTGCCGTATGCAGTTTGTGACAACCATCTGCTAAGACCTCCCTTAGAGTTCTTTCTCCCACTCAGCCCAGCTGAAATAAAAATATGGACAGAAAGAACTTCTGCAGGGAGATAAAAAAGTTAATAGGGGACGTGGAGTTAGACTGCGCATCTGATTCGAATTCAATTGCTCCTACAACTTATGCCCTACTCATAAAACATTCCT